TACCATTTCGATGCCGTAGATATACTTATACTTTGTTTCTACGCAGATATCGTACCGAGAGACATACTGTATTCTTTATAGTCTTGCATACTTTTGTTTCTTGTTTCTGCTCTTCGGAAACAAATAGCGGCATTTGTTTTGCCAAAGATATTTAGTTATCTCGAATGTTTGTCGGCATTTGAGTATTTTTTCTGTAGGTATATTAAATGAAGAATTGTCATTGCCGTTGACGATCACCAAGTTTCCAAAACTTTTTGAAAACCTTATTGCTCTGTCTTCCACCAATTTTGGTAAAACATTTCATACGGTATATTTTCGATACATGCTTCTAAGAACTTCTTTTCCTGTTCCTTTCTATAAAGTAGTACAATCTAAAACTCTCTCCTTGATTCTTTAAAGTCTTTCTCTTATTTACTTTCCAGTCCTCTTTATGCTGTATCTTTGTCATTTTAAAAACTTGACTGTCGAGTCTGAACACTTTCAGCAGAGGTGGGTATATAAGCACATGTAATGAACGTCATACGAAGGAAGGAAGGAAGTTTAGTCAAGTCATTGCTGGTCAAAATTGGTGGGTGGTCGTTTACGTAAAAGGCGTCATTAAAAGTTTCATGCAATGGTGGCGATGCCATAGGCTTCTTATCTAAAATATTATGGTCACAATCAAAATTGTCTGATAGCGTTGGATATTTACAATATATATAACACAATATTCTCAATATTTTCGTGATCACTCTCATTAAATACGTTACCTCAACAGAATAAATTCTTTGTTCTGTGCTTCAAGCAATTTTTTCATTTGAAAAAATAATAATTTAGACTAGAGCAAAAAAAAAATTTTTTCATCGCTTGTGGAGCATAAGAATACCACTATCACTAAAACCACACCAATGCAAGCCAAAAGTATTACATGGGCTGAAAAGTCCCGGGCCTAACACATAGATTGCGCTAGTTTTATTGCAGTCACCCTTTTTCAGTTGATAGTAACCTTCAAAAGACGGCTGTTAGAATTTCATGATATTCTATTCATTAGTTTGTGAGTTATTGTGCTAAGAGTGACGCTACTTTTGTTATTTACAAAACAATGGATCAAAAACAATTTCTTGTTTTAATTTTACACTGCTTCTTGATGGGAAAAAATACCATTCAAGCGAAGCAATGGCTTGAAAAGTGTTATGGGGACTTCGCTCCATCAGAAACAACAATAAAACGTTAGTTTGCTGACTTCAAACGTGGTCGTAGAGACACCGATGATGCAGAACGCAGTGGACGTCCAAATGAGGCGGTAACACCAGAAAACATAACAAAAATCCACAAAATCGTTTTGAGTGATCGAAAAGTGAAGTTGCGTGAGTTAGCTGACATCGTAAAGATATCAAAAGAACGTGTTGGGTTTATATTGCATGACCATTTGACTATGAGAAAGCTCTGTTAAAGGGGGTGCCGCGTTTACTCACTGTTGACCAAAAACGAGAACGTGTTAATGATTCTGAGCAGTGTTTGGCCATGTTTAAACGTAACAAACCGGAATTTTTGCGTCGATATGTGACAATGGATGAAACACGGATCCATCACTTCACTCCGGAATCAAAACGATCGTCATCTGAGTTGACAGCAACTGGTGAACCTCGTCCAAAGCGCCCGAAAGCACAACAATCGGCTGGAAAGGTTATAGCCTCGGTATTTTGGGATGTGCGTGGTGTAATATTCATCGACTATCTTGAGCAAGGAAATACCTACCATTAACAGTGAATATTATATAGCGTTATTGGAGCGTTTGAAGGCCAAAATTGCAAAGAAACGACCACATATGGCAAAGAAAAAAAAAAATGTTTCAAGATAACGCACCGTGTCACAAGTCAATCAAAACAATGGCAAAACTACATGAATTGAACTTCGAATTGCTCCCACATCCACCGTATTCGCCAGATTTGGCTCCCAGCGACTATTGGCTGTTCGCAGACCTGAAAAAAATGCTCGCCGGTAAGAAATTTCGCACGAATGAAGAGGTTATCGCTGAAACTGAGGCCTATTTTGATGCAAAAGATAAATCGTTCTACAAAAGTGGTATTGAAATGTTAGAGCGGCGCTGGAATGATTGCGTTGCTCTTGATGAAGATTACGTTGATCATTAAAGCTAATTTTGAACCAAAAAAACTGTGTTTTCTTTGTTAGGCCCGGGAATTTTCAGCCCATGTGTTAACTATTAAAATTGTATTTTATAATATCAATAATAGCCCACAGCAACACAACCGGCTCATAAAATGAATTATCTGTCGATTAACGAAGCACTATATACCATATTCCACAAAGTATTTCCAATTTTTTACCACCAACAGGTTAGAAAGTACCACATACGACAAATTGAATTTATATTGAAACTAATATAAGAGTCGGATTTGATACTTTGAATATACTTTACATTAAAAATGTAGCTAGTACCACATACAACTAATAATTTGATATTTATTCAAATGTTTCTTTAAGAATTTCATTTAAGAAAAAAGTCGGATGTGCTACATACTTATATACTATACTTTGAGTTACAAAAGGTAGTTGAACATGGTAAATCCTACAATTTTAATCGACAATTCCAAAGATTTCATTAATTAATTAATAAATACTTATTTGAAATAAACTAAAATAATCACTTTTAAAATTCAAATTTATTCGTTACGCTAAGTTTGCCAAATATCAATAAAAAATAATTACCTGTTTCTTCATGTTGTTCATCTATGTTTAATAAAATATATTTTTTATCAACACCGCTATCTAAAACTTGCATCTAAATAATTTTATTGATTGTTAATTATTTAGATGCAAGTTTTATTAATTTGGCTGAACGATTCATCATTGTGATTGATAGGAACAAAACTTATAATAGGAAAAACTAAAAAAATACGAATTACTACTAAACAAACTAACACGGCCCTATAACATGATTCGTACTGGCACAACCGTCCATCGCGCCCCGTTAAAAATGTCGTAAGGTAACATCGATCATAGTTAACGAGCAATCGTAACCAATCCGACTTTGTTAACATAGCTATTTCAAAAATGATCGAAAAAATTTACTTTTTGTTAAAGCTGCTAAAAACATTTCATTTTTAAGGTCAATCTATACAAATAAATAAAATTGGAGTGTCTGTTTGTAATATTAAAATAACCGCTTTTTACTAAATGCATATGTATGTTTACACGGTACAATTGCCAAAATAACATTTTTTATAATTTTTGTCTGTCGGTCTGTCTGTCTGTCTGTTTGTTCCGGGTAATCTCTGGAACGGCTGGACCGATTTCGACGGGACCTTTACTGGCAGATAGCTGATGACATAAGGAGTAACTTAGGCTACTTTTTTTTAGACTAGCTTCGCCCCGCGGCGTTGCCCGCGGTTATAACAACAAACGCGGGTAACACGCGGGTCTCAGCTAGTAGTAAAATAAAAAGAATATCAAGAAAATTGCATATCCAACCTTCTTAATAGGTACAACAATTAATTTAACATGGGATAACTCTTTAAAAATGTGATTGTAAACAAAATTCAAAATATGCATTCTTTTTATCGCTGTCGCAATTGCAAAAGAGCCATTAAAACTGCTATATCATACGAAAAAGGTAGTATTGTTCTAGAAAACGAAAACAAAGTTAGATATTTTTTTGTAAATACAGACTAAAAAAGTAAATATTCATGCAAAAAATGTAAAAGAAGTAATGTTAAAATGTAAAGGAATAAACCCGCGACCGCGAGACCGCGCACAAAACATGTAAGTTGTTAAAAATACGACGGTCGTTTAGTTTAAAAAAAGAATGAAGAGCTAAAACTAGTAAATAATATTAGACTATACTGGTTATAATATTTTATGCTTAGTCCACAAAACTAAGGTACTTAAATTAAATGTAGTGACTGCACAACTTACGGAAACTCTCTGTAACTCTTTTAGTATTTCTGAATTATTGTGTTGTTATTCTTTTATATATTCAATATCTATACCTATTTTTAACCATCTTCCAAAAACACTAAAGAGCTGAGGTTCTCAATTAGACTGTTTGACTGAATAGAATTGTGGTTCGATTTCCAAAATTCTTTTTGTAATCGAAAGGGTATACTCCCGAGATGGTGCCATTACCACAAAATCAGGATTTTATGATGGGATCCCAGAAAAATCGAGGGAAACCCTCAAATTTTACAGTAGTGCTCTTTGTTACTATTGCTTGAAGTCGGTCCGACTTTAAAAGAAAATGATTTATTGCAACTACAATGTGCCAAAGCGAAGCGTGGCACTGTATAGCTAGTATCAAAGAATGTCGATTGACGATTGCGACTGAACGAAACCGAATATCATGATTTTATAAGGAAAGTACTCTTTCTTATTGATTGTTATTAGATTAGATTAGTTTTATATTATAAAATGGTAAAATATTGTCAATATCAGAAGGTCAATTCTCGGAATAAAAATTCGTTCAAAATTCAATTCGATGTCACAAATGTCATAAAAGATATTCTCGTAGTAAAGTAGTAAACATCCAACGTTGACTGTAATGTGATTATATCGTATTGTGCCTGAAAGTTGAGTCGGTTTTTCATAGTCTTAGTAATACTTTACTACCTTACTACCTTCAGGTCTGTTACCATCTGACTGAAGTGATTTGGATCTTCCAACACATCTCATGGCCGTGTTCACTTGGCGGAGAACATCATCACATCACATCAGCAGCCCTTAATAGTCCACTGCTGGACATACGCCTCTCTTTAGAAAGGAGGTTTTGGCCTACTATACCACGATGGCCAGACGGGTTGGTATAGTGTTTGTGTCAAGTTTTCCTTCTTTTTGAGGTCCTGGTGTCCTGCGTTGTTTTGCGCCCTTAGTCGGCCTTACGACTCCCGCGGGATGAATTGGGGGAAGTGACATTCCGTATTCTTAACCTAAAATCAATAGACAGACCCTCTTGCTATGACGTTTCGGTTGACCGAGTGTACCAGGAGGATTCCTTATCAACTATCATGCTACCACCGTTTCCTATGTCGCTTTTATATGTACTTCCAAATATGGCAAGTAAAATTCAAGTAAGTAAATACCATATACATTATATAATAATTAATTTGAAATACCGTTAACTATTTAGATGAACCTAACACGCTTGTTTTTCATTAAAAATATAATGTTTCAAAAAATATGTAAATATTTTTTATCATAATAACTTACAGTGACCTCGTTGTATATAAACTTGTACAGTTTGTTACACAGAATATAGAATAAAGTATAAATCTGTGTAAGTAACTTTTTAAACAAAAAGTTTTACCGTACCGCGGAGTTTTCTCTCCAAGAAACATTAAAACATTGCTGTGTTTGTATATGTATCATGTTGATTAGTCGAAATTAATTAATTACGCTTCATTGATGAACAAAGTTGATACGCGGACTTTCACTGTGTTTCCAGTGCCTAGGCTCCCCTGACTCACTGACCGCGACCATGGCGCGAAGAAAGCTAGTGGGTTAGGAAAGTAAACACTAATTAATTATATTCTCAGCAACTCTTAGATATTCTATCTGTACCAATTACAGAGAGGGTCGCTCACTGACCAATATTTAGGTATGCTTTAAATCAATTTTCTGTTTGGATTAAGTGATCCTTGGACAGTTGTGACAACCGTGAGGAAACCCTTTGCAACAATGTTACACAAATTAACTCTTTTTTTCAACCGTGAGGCCAGAGCTGTTACAGAACATTGCCCTTATGTCAATTTGATTCGGGAGCCCACTGAATGGTTTTGAATGTTGTAGAATTATTTAATAAATCAATCTAATGTCAATTATTGAAAATTTACGTAACCTTTTCACATCTTTTGTTAATGTATTCTTGAAATCGTGTTACGTATCCGGATACTGCAAGTACTGTGTTTATTTGTTCGTTTTCAATTAAAATACAAACGAGTAATAACAATTTTGCCTTATTTTATTTGACAATATCGTTCGCTAAGCGTTATATCATTTCGGAGGGGGCTCTATACACAAAACTGTAAAATAGAGTGGAGTTGGAAAAAAGACGATCGCGAGGTATCATTTGCGCTCGCGCAAGGTGCGATATAAGCGCGTGGAGGGAGCCGCGCCGCTGCAGTGCCGCTCCCACTGGCTCCGACACAACATGGGGAGAAAGGTAAATTTATTATAATATAAATATCGCGTAAACAAAACCTACTTAACCAACGGTAACGGTTGCGTTTACAAAGGCCAGTGTTTTAATATATTTCTCTTTTGATTTCAGGTATTATTAATAGTTTCGTGCTGGCTGACGTTAAGTCAGTCATTTGGTGATAAAAGAAGCTACAGTTTATATGTTGGAGATAATGAAAGTGCAGAAAGTGCTCCGCGTCTCTACCGCAACGTTCCGCTAGGAGTGTACGCTAGTGCTGCCCCTTATCCCGCTCACACGTTTCATCTGCCGAACTTTATCGCGGCGCCTAAGGCCGCGGCCTCGCATGTTATGCCAGTGAATGAACATTATGTGAACCACTTGACAGATTCCTATGGAAACCAATTTGTTGGGACACCGCTGTCATCGACATATAAATTGGCATTACCGCAACAGTTTGTACAACTTCAATCAAAGTTACCAGAGCATTTAGCTCAACCGTTAGTCGCCGGTTCAGCTAACTTCCAATTCAAGCAGTCAAATGGTCAGTTTTTTGGTGCCCCTTACCGAGTCCCCGTACAACAAGGACATGCTCCCACACCGCTACACCACTTTCCAACTTTCGGACAACTTTATGGGAACAACATAAAACATTTGGCGCCTAATACGGTCATTCACAGTCAAGCGCAAGGAATCCAGAATACCCATCAACAACCAACTAACAATAAAGTGGTGTACACAGATACACAATCCCACGAACGCTATAACCATTATAAAGAGGAACCGAAGGTTTTGCAACAAAAGGAGCCCCAGATAATCGTTGGTAAACCAAAAGTGCAAGGAATTCAGGAAGTATCTAATGAACCTTATGGTAATGTTATATACGAAAAAACCCAAGCTGGTTCCTATTCAACTCACAAAAATCCGAAAAAGGAAGCTCATGCAAAAAATGCAGATGCAAAATACCAAAGATTAAAAGAATCATCAAGCTCCGATCATCAAGCACCTAATCATAGCCACGAGCAAGTAAATTCTGAATTTATTCAAGGGCTACCACATTATGAAACTAAGTATCAAATTATACAGGATCAACCTCATTCGTCCCAGTTTCAAAGAATAAAAGAACACCAGCCGCTACATGGAGAAGTAAAATTCCAAAGAATACAAGATGCCTCCTCGAATGCTCATAATCAACATAATGACCGTGTTCAAAATAAACCAGAGGCTCAAAGTAACAAAGCCAAACTGCAAGCAGCACCTGCTAAACAAGTTATTACGTATATCAACGACATAAACGGTGAGAAAACTATAGTTGAGTTGGAGACTACACCTAGTCTTCCCCTGTTAGATTTAACCCTGCTCGAGCCTTTGACATTCGACAATCCCCTTGTACCTCAAGTACAGCATTTCTTACCGCGCATAAATCAAGCTACATACCAGAAATTGCCCGAAATCAATAAACCCATGGTTAAAAACTATCAGAAAGAGTTTGTTATACAGAAAACATCGTCTTATGATAGCTCAGAAGAACAAGAAAAACCACAAAAGGACGCATCAAGAAAAAAACATAAGAAGCCTACGCAACCGACTAAACATGCTAAAAAGAATGAAGTGCCTAGAAAAACAACGGTAACTTACCATGAACATCTCGAGGATGTACCAGAGGTTATACATGAAATAAATTCTCCAAACTATAAAGAAATAGTCAAAGAAAAATCTGTAAGTTATAACATGAAGACACATTCAGAACCGGTTCATCACACTTATGGATCTAAAATTGAAAATGAGCCTGTAACTTATAGCTATTCACGTACATCAAAAGAGCCGGTACAGAGTGTCCAATATAGTGGTAATGGGCCTTCACATCTTGCTTATGATTTTAAGTCTAAAGAACACGCGCATGAAGAGACACCAGCCACCACACCACCACATCGCACCACAGCACACGACAGTAAGGCTAGAGACGACGAAGATTCACACGAATCTGCTGAAGATACTCCCTCTAATAATAAACATCACGGCTACACAAAGCAGTATGAGAAACATTCAGAATCGTCTGAAGAGCACCATGAACCTGTTCACAATGAAAAGGAAAACTATCATAAACAAAATGAACAACAACATGACCCTCCCTCAAAACATAGCAGCGAACCATTTCAAATAATTTCTGAAGACATTAATTTTCAGCCAATTTTAAGAGAATATGAAGAAAACATTCGTTCGTTGGCACCTAGTGCTTCAATTAAAGTAGACCCTCATCAACATGTGCAACCTAAGTCTACACCTCAACCGGTTGAAAATCACTACGAAGAACCGTTACGTCATCACCATCCCCACTCATCGCCATCTCCGCCAGAACATGCTCATTCTTCCCATAACTATCAGGAAACCCAGCATCACGCTCCTCCTTCAGACTACTACGAGTATAATGGACCTACATCGCACATTCACGAAAAGTCCAAGCGTGTGATAATTCAAGAAAAAGCCCCCAATGAAATGCATATGTTGAGAGAACAAATGCGGCAGGAAGTCGTCGATCGAGAAGAAAATTCCGAAGATAATTTTGAAAAGGCATACGAAGAGGCTGCCCTTGGATTCCCTGCTTATAATAAAAAAACTTCAGATTCTGAAAAAGATATATTTGACCCAGAGAGTTACGGGGTACCCCGCGACCACGTTGAATACGACTTCGAGCATACTCCACTCCAACAGTATCAGGCAGAAGGTGATGAATTCCCGACAGAAGCCCGTGCCCTGTACAAAGACGCGAGAGACAAAATGAAGCAGAATTACTACACAGATTTTTCGGTTAGTAAGCCAGAAGGTATGTTAGATCGTTACCAAAACAAATTGAACTATTATAAGTTGTTCAAAGAACAAAAACCAGATTATGTAGTTGATTACGAACAAGCTGACAAAAAACAAAAACACAAATCTGCTAAATACATAGCTGCTCCCTCGTATGACTTCCAGCCGTCACAGGATAAAAGTGAGTCATACTACGGACAACCCAAGCAAACGCAACAACTACACGAATATAACTACTCACAAAAAACACCTGGCGATAATTCAGCGTTTGCGTCACGACCTTACCAAAATTACAAGAGCAGAACGAGCTTTGTTGAACCCCAATTCCAATATGGCTTCGAACCTTTATTATTACCCAAGCTCCTCGACAGTGAGTTAGCCGCAATGGCCAGCAACGACAGTCCTGAGAGTAAAGATCCTGGCACGGTAAAGAAAATGTATAAAGAAAACTGGTATATCAATACCAGAACAACCGCTGGAGCGCCAGCTAGCTGATAAGACTAATTTATTATTTTGTTGTTAGTGTATATGTTATGTATAGTAAATTAATAAAATTGTTTAACAAATATACCACTCGAGTGTCCTTATTTAATTTTGTCTGAGACTAATGTTCTACTTACCTACCTGCTAACACAGAACGAAATTAAAAGTGTATCGTTTTACTTGAACTATTTCTTGATGGATTACGCAATTAAACTTTCGCTATCTTTAGTCTTTTCCTTTCAATATATTACGTGACGTAGTTTTTTACATCCATTCTTGACCACTGATAAATAAAAGACTGTTCTGATAAACTCAGTCACCGTGGAAAACACAAAACGATACAAAAACATTTAAACTCCGATCATAATTTGTGATACCTGATAGGTTTATTAAATTTTCATATCTGTATGAAATTAATGAGATTAAAGGTAAATATTTGTTCCTTCCGTATCCGCTAAAGTAGACTTCCTTGGGCGGAACTAGCAGTATCACGCATTTAGTGGCACGCGAATAACTGATTACCAAATTGGTTTTTATATGCTTCAGATCAGTAAGCAGCAGTAAGGAGGCATTATGATGTTAATAGTACCTACTACGATGATTTTTTTCCGTTAGTAGCGATATTTCTATTCAGACATTGATATCTTTCACTACCCACTCGTAGTCAAAGATATCAATCTACCTAGGACATGCTCTCTATAAACGAAAATAGGCGTAACTTACATTTTTCGTTGTGCCAATTTTTATGCAAATTTAATTAAGAACCTACTACTGTTCTTTATTAAAATTCCTTGTAAAAAATATATAAACTCGTGTTGATTATACATATATAATTATTACACATATATTATTACACATCTACAGATTTTTAAATAAGGATCACTTGCATCTGTGGGTACGGTCATGGCCACGCTAAGTCAAGTAAAAGAAAAAACAAACACTCATCTGTACCACCCTGTTTTCGAAGTCATTTAGTTTGACATCCTGTAACATCGTTGTAGATATAGTTAAAAGCATTGAATTTTCAGTGAACAATAACTCACAATCTAACTAGACCCTAACAAACATTTAATTTGTACATGTATAAAAAACGATGTTTCCTCTAATATTTTTCTACCTACAGAAGAAAAATACAGCTCATAAAAAATTCATAAGTAAAAACTCTATACCTCGTAATGTAGGCTGCTTCTTCGGCAGCAAAATATTGTGAAATCGAATTTGTTGAGTAATTAAATTTTATAGTTATATTTTTAGTTATTTTTTTATAGTTATGTATAATTCATATAAAATGTAGCCTTATATCAATACAAGTATAAAGTATGTTCAATTTTTGACAAAAATTAAAAATTGTAAAAATGATTTGACAACCATCGTCTTGTACTGTACTGTACTTGTATTTAAAAAATCTATTCGTGATTAATGAAACTGAAAAGATCAAATATTTCGTTAATTTCAAGAGATATTACAGAAAAACCGATATCAAAGTACCTTCAATCTTGTTTGTTGAGCAATTTTCGATTATAGACACCGAGACAAGTTGCGAGCGCTAAAAGTGAGGAAATAAGTAAAAAAACAATGTCGTTACTATAGTGGTTTATGTCTGAAACCAATCAGTTTTTCAATAAGATCAATAACGAATTAATGATTAAATTCGGTGCATTGATAATTGCTATCGAAAAATAAAACTACTTCTGATCATTCCTTTTTATTACTTCAATACATTACAATAACTAACATTAGATAACTTCACAAAATGCATGAGAAACAAAACCTCATCTGAAGCTACTCGTGTGACTAGTAAAATAACATATAACGTGTATATAAATTCGAAAAAAAAACAATCCAATTTGTCTAATAGACCATTAAAAGTCAGGAGAGTATAAAAATAAATGACTAATACTTATTTATTGTTTACAAACCGTAATGAATTGGGTACTTTTACTTGTATTTGCTATCTAACCTTTCTGTTCGTGTCTTTCCTAAAGAACAATTTAATCGTCATCAATACTGTAGCTAATCCTAAAGACACTGCTATAGTAGCTACAATCATCACTCCGCATGAAACACTATGGCCCTTCTGGAAATCAAACACCTGAGCCACCAACGCTACAGGTCGTAGAATTTTAACAACCGGTTCGCAGCCCGACTCCCGAACGTATTTTGCCCATGTTCTATTGGCCATTGTTACTTCTCTTGGCTTTGTAAAAGGCCTTCTACCTGGGACTGTCTTATTCACCATTGAAGTCATATTACGGAGTTGTGTTTCATTGTAGTGGCAGAATAAGTGTTTCTTTTTCTTGTTGCCTTTAACTACTATGTCCTTTTCAGCACTTTTAGCACCGATCAATACATCAAGATCTCCTTTGATCATATTCGCCCAGTCCCACATTTCTGCGATTTTGCAATCGCATATAAAACGATTACCCAGCAAATTGAGCGAATGCAGTTTAGGATTATTAGCGAACACATCAGGATCTATGGTCGTGAGATTATTATTGCTTAAATTTATTTTTTCTAAGTGGTGTAACCTTTCTAAGAATGACAGACTTCGTTCCGCAGACCTTAAGCGATTCCCACTTAGATTTAGTTCAGTGATATTTTCGGTATTCTGGAAAGCCTCTGCGTTTAATGAAGTTATGTTGCAATTGCTGAGGTCAAGGATCGTCACTTGTGACAGTTTTTTTGGAAAGATGGGCCCCGCTGGCGGAATCACTAAAGGATTACCTCCAAGCTTGATTTCTCGTAAATCCATATAAGTCAAATTTTTAAAGAACGCCAAACCGTTCAACGGTCTTTTTAAGCCACAGAATTCTAATTCTAATGTAGTTAATTGAGTCAGATTTCCGAAGAGCCCTGCCTCTAGGGACAGTAGGTCGTTACCAGACAGTACTAACCTCTTCATTGACGTCATTTTAGCAAAAGTATCTGGGCCAATATATGACAGATTACTGTATCCCATATTCAGATACTCTAACTTTTCCAGAGGCGCCAGCAACTTAGTAAATACGTTTTCTAAGGGGTTGTGTGAAATGTCTAACTCTAAGAGATTGTCAAACACGTTAAAGTTGTCAGGCAGATCGTGGAGTCCACAGTCACTCAAAAATAGTCTTTCAAGTTTAGTTAATGGCTCTAGTGCTTCCTGCAAATCGGTTGCAACTAAAGGATTTCCGGAAAGATAAAGGCTTTTTAATCTACTCGCATTCGAGAACGTTTCACCGGATATTGGATTCTGAATATTACATTGAGACAGATCTAGCAGCTCGAGATGGGTGACGCTATTGCCCAACATGGTTGCAACGTCCAAATCACGTAATTCGTTGTCTGCCAAAATGAGCGTGACCAAATTAGTGCAATTAGAGAACGTGTCTTCCGAAAGAGACGTAAGACCAGATTTTCTCAAGGTCAAATATTCAAGTCGAACCATTTTCCCGAGTACTTCAGGCCAATCTGTATTCGTCAAATAATTGCTAGCCAGTTCTAGAAACTTTATGTTTACTGCGGTCGAGAATGTGTGGTCGGATATGGCAGTAAGCTTGCAGTCATTCAGTTTGAGGGTTTCGAGGCTGGTTAGAACATCAAAGATCCCTGCTTCCAGAATCTTTAGTGGATTGTTGGAAAGATCAAGGGTGGTAAGTGTGGTTATGTTGTCGAAAAACTGTGTGTTGATTGTAGATAAGTTGCACGAGCTGATATCTAGGTATTGCAGCGTAGGAGATATTAGAAAAGGCCCCTCCACCTTGGTTACCGGATTATCTTGTAGTTCTACGTTGAGAAGCCCTCGACTGTCTCTGTAAAGTAATAAATTATTAAAAGATTAAATATATATAGGAATACTTTAATGAAGTATTCTTCTTTATCAGTCGTTTTTAACTGAAAAATCTAAAGTCTTCTAATTACTTTTTGAAAGACTGTAGAAGAAAGGGACGTCCGAAAACTAGATGGAAAGACAATATCTGCCTAACTTTGGGACCTTATTGGACTAGAGTAGCAGAGGATAGAGCTCAGTGGAGAGAGCTGGAAGAGGCCTATGCCAAGAGGCGCACCGAATTGCGAGACATAATATAACAAATAGAACTCGGAAATATGTATTGTCAAATCTGTGGCGAATTCGGAAGAAAAGGGCTTTATTATTATTATTATAATTATTTTTAGTAATCTCAAAGAATGAACGTCTTTTACGAAAATTATTAATTCTTTTTTTGGTATCAAAGCAAATTATTTAATTTAATTTATTTACAAACACATATGATCAAAAGAAACCCATGAAAAACAATTATTTTGATTTGTGGTTGTTAGTTAGCTACACCGATTAAGGACTTTGTGACGCAAAGCTAACTGGGTAAATTTGAATATGAAGCACTCGTTCATTTAAACAACGGCTGTGTTGGTCGAGTGGTTAGTGCCCCTGACTGCTAAGCCGGAGGTCGTGGGTTCGATTCCCACCCAGGACAAATATTGTATGATGAGCATGATCATTTGTTCTGTGTCTGGGTGTAATTTATCTATAATATGTATGTATTTAAAAATATACAAGTATGTTTATCAGCAGTCTGGTCACCATAGCACAGGCTCTGCCTAGTTTGGGATCAGACGGCCGTGTGTGAGATGTGTGAGGTATATTGTATTATTATTATTATTATTATTATTTAAACAATGTTCTCATTACATCGATGTTTTCAAGGTCTCTTTCTTATCTACTACATCTAAACTTGAGCGTATTGTAAACACAAACATGAAAACGTTGATCTATGTAGCGAATTCAATTTGCATTCGTTGTGTGACCATTATCCAATATTGGCACCACAAGCAGCGGCAATTGGTCTCGCATCTTGTACAAGCAAATTGAACAATTTTGTCATCAGTCGGCTTAATACGTCATGAATGCCAGTGTCGTCTCGCAAACAAAGAATACTATACTACTATACTAAGAAGAAAATACATGTATTTGTAGTAAATATTCCATCTGATTGAATGATTTTCGTGGGTGAGCCATGCATTGGCACAAGTGGGTTCCACCGGAGTAATACCACGGCTGCATATAAAACCGGTGAGAAGCTATTCTTTTGATGCTTTCCCCCCGAGTGAATGAGTTACCCAAACCAAAACCTATTGTCTAAGGAAACAGCCTTGCGTACAGCGCTGCCACAGCGTCTAACTTCAAACTAAGTTCGTTTGAAATTCGAATAGCACTGCTGATTCTGGGGGGAGGACTCAAAGGGCGGACGGCAATCCTGAGTCGCAAGTGTCGGTAGTCACTTACCATCAGGAGACCGTCTGCTCGTTTGTCCTCCTATGCCATAAGAAAATACTTATTGTGATTATTACATTATTTCAAAATATAAAAAGAGTTGGATCTTTAAGCGAAGTATTATGATAAAACAATTACATTCACCAAACGAACCATTGTTTAGTTTAAAAAAGCCACGAAAATAGCTATTTGTTGTAAAGTGTACAAGTGTACAAAACACGTAGGTATAAAAACCAGATTCTTTTGTAAATCTCAGTTCTAAATTCAACTGAACATCATTACAGGTAAGGTTCAAGTTTGTCTTAAATACGATTAGAGATATTAACTTTAAAAAAAAAAAAACTTACAAGAAAGCTTCTGGATCGACGTAGCTAATATTATTACCAGATAAATCAATATCTATCAGGTACTCCAAACCTTTGAAGGCTTCTTTCTCCACCCTTGTTAGACGATTATCAGCTATCTGTAGTCTCCTCATCTTGATGTCCGTCGGAAAGGGCTTCAGAGTCGTAATATTATTTCCATTCAAGTCCAAAATATACACGCTCAGACTCAGCTCATCGTACGGGACCTCTGTCAGGTTACTCTCCGAACAATCAGTCACCCAATTTATTCGGAAATAATGACAGTCACATTCGTCAGGACATTCCAGTTCAAAGCTGTCTCCGTTGAATCCGTATGTAAATTTAGTTGCGATTAGGTAAAATGCGAACACTGTACAGCGAATCATGATGATTGATGACGTTTGACGACTTCAGGCAAGGGATCACCTAGTCATCGTCTCTGAAATAAACATTAACATTTCTATATGAGAATTTCACGTTCACATTAGCTAGATAATTACGCTGCTTTGCATAAAGGTGTCTATTTCAAGTCTTGATTCATAAGTCTGCTCGTAATAAGGTGTTATACTTAGAAAAGTTTAATAACATAGAAAAAATGATCATATATTAATTTCGATTGTATGGAGCATGACGTGGCTATGTTTGATCGTTTTTATATCAATCGATTGTATAGATAAAATGCTTAATTTCGCTCCCGAATGACGTCTAATCGATTTCGGATGATCGTTTTTGTCATCAATTAATAAAGTGCGCCGCATTGAAGCTCCCAGATGATACTAGAATAATAATAACAATTGTGTAAGCCGTAGTACTGACAGGACAATAAGTATAATAGGCGGCATCCTGTGTAAGCCGGTGTGGCTTGTTTCCTGCCAGAATTTTCCAGAAACACAATAAGGTTTAGTCATAGTCATATGGTCATAGATCGATGCCCTTGTAAGTGGTTTAAGAGGCTGACATTATTGCATTATGTTTCATATTTTGAACAACGATTTATTTTTATTCAACTACCGAAATAACGCGTCATTTTTACATATCGTTTCTATAGATTTTTCAATCAACCTGGCTTATACTATGACAAGCAGGGCTTTGATAGACTCAGCTTTGTGCCCAAACCAATAATAACCTATGCGGGGTTAGTTATCAATGCAATAATATCAGTGAAGGCAAAAATGATAGGGAGTCAAAAATGATATTCAGATCTTAAAAACAAAGTATTTATATTAATACTTTACTAAAAGGTGGATCAATATAACCAAGGTTTATATAGTAGGCCAATACCTCATTTCTGAGGAGAGGCCTATGTCCAGCAGTGAACTATTAAAGGTGGATGTGAAAGGTGGATCGAGGAGGACCTAAGTGGGTGTAGCTAGAATGGATGGCTAATTTCTAACATTTCTATGGTCTACATGAAATGCAATAAAAAGCATTCATTATCTTCTAATACTTATATCAAAATGATTTTTTCTTCATGGTTTATTTGCTATCGTATCGTTTATGCAGAAAACCATCAAAATGGTATAAAGTGCTTTTTATCCACAAAAAACATTGTATCTAAATATTTTTACGCTAGGGAAACCGCGGGCAAAAGCAATGACTTGTAAACTATAAGACAACAATGAATATTAAGTACCAATAAAAAGTGTTCAGCGTCGCGATAAATGATTTTTGTTATTACAACTAAGTTTGCAATCAAAAACACATAAGCTGGAAATATATGTATGTTTGTCTGATTATACGATATTAGGTATATTTTTATGGTACAGGGTGCAAACGAACAGACGAGTCTGACTGTCTTTAGAGTGCCTCCCCCACCAGAATTTAGGGGGAGGGTAGTCCTCCGGTAAGCTCGCTCCAGCAGTTCACTCGGTGAAAAGTAATGAAAGAATTGCTTCCCACTGCATTTCTGTGAGCCCAAAAAACAATAGGTATTCTGTCGGACTCAAACCGCCGTCTCCAGGTACCAGTAGTGCTAAGGTGACCCAGGTATCCCCAGGTAACCCAAGAAATAAAGCCCTGGTACCCTGACGTACTTCGGGCTAAACTTGGGAAACCCGATGTTCCCTTAATGCCGCCGAGGAAATATCCCTCTGACAATATTTATAAAGTAAGAGGCGACGAGTATGGCAGGTTTATTCTTTACCGGACCCGGGAAACAGTACCTCCATTCTAAAGTAAAGAAAAAGGTATCCAAATGATACCATTTTTTATTTCTTTTTATTTAATTCAAGTACAAATGGTACCAGTTTTTTATTTTTATTACATTTGCATTTTAAATATTCTGCTTCATTGGTTTCTAAATTTACTAGTTTTTAACAAGAATGGTAATAAGTAGACAAAGCATCTGTCAGGATTCTCGGGGACTTCCATCGTCGGATACACCGGAGTCCCTTGGAATACATTCATATGTGACTGAACCGTGTGGTTTTAGTAGGTTCGATTCCGACATACTACTTCACTGTGAACTGTGTGGATGACTTATGGGGGGGTTCCACGCAAAAGAAAAGGGGACAAAGCATGATTCACGTAAGACTTCTGCTACTAGCAGCTCTACTTTTAGCAGATGTGCCTAACCTCTAAAAGTTAAGCAGCAAGGCTCGTGACATAGAATATTGTACGATTTAAAATAAAAGTAGGGCTAACACTACCGATAATCGCTTAACTTCAGGCAGACGGCGACCTTGCTTAGCAACTATTTAAATAATAAAGAAAATTAAAAAAAAAAAATTATTACCTACAATTCATTAGAATACAAAATTAACGGTATTTTTTATCAAGTTATTAGAAATAACAAAAATATGTAGCATAGTTACCAAAGATACTTACACTGACTTTACAAAAATTATCTTAAAATAAAACTTAAATTTCGTGTCGTCTACAATAATCAGACTGTGAGATGTAATAAAAGTAGAAGTTGAAGGCTAAGTAGTGCATATAGTATTTACATACATTATGGAAATGCCGCATCGTAATTCTTGTGATGCATACTAGGTATACACGTGGTTAAGTTCTACTACGGCGTAAACAATTTTTAGTAAAGTTCGAGAAGCTACTAATAAAACGCTATTGCACAAACACTACGCGTAAGTCACCTCTAGGACCATTACAGGGGGAATAAACAATTCACTGGCTGTTTAGGGTGTAACTAATAAAAGAAAAATAAACTTTCAAATTTCGAATATGTCACTCGTTTTTCTGATGGGCGAGGGACGCAAAATCCTTGTCGTTCGCTTATTCAGGTCATGCGCTCGTATTTACGCGGATCAGACGATGCATTCGAAGTGTAACTTACGTGACAATATGTGGATGCGTGTTTCCTTGGCGGCCACCGGCACTCTACTACTGAATAATCTGAATGTAGTAGCTATTATTGGTGACACTGAGAGTTTTCGTATAGCGATGCACGGTCATCTTGTTTATTGTGATTAGTGATTACGTACAGCCCGTACTGACAATTGAATGTAGTACCTACCTACACTAGCTGCTGCTAACAATTAGGCGTTGAATCAACAGTTAAACGACAGAAGCCTTCACTACACTTTCAACTGCCGATATAAAAAACTAAGATAGATTTCTGTTAGGCCTCATTATTGCACTGTTAGTACAGTACTTTACTCTTTTTAAATACATAAATATTATGTTTAGTTTTTCAAGTAAATGAATATTGAGTAGTTACAGCAAACTGTTCCTTGTATGTAAATATGCTACTAATTTTCGTCTAGGCGTTTGAATTTAATTTACAATATTTTTCGGTAACCGCTTTATGGTTACACTAAACAGACAACGGGTCGGGCGGGACGGTGAATATTTCAAACGCTCATGTTACGTCGCCGTCCCGACTCGCTCGCTGTCTGCCCTCAGCTTTATTCGTTCCCTACCTTTTTTTTTTTTTGTTGACGGAGTGGAAAATCCCTTCGGATCTCCGGCTCCTTGGGGATATAGGAGCCAGGAGTATGTGGTGATTCCACTAAAAACCACTCCGACGTGGCCGTCGGATAAGGCTGGCGCCTTAGGCGCCCTGCTCTGGGGAGAACCCGGGCCATGTGATTTCAGGTCCCCCAGATCGACGCCGCACCTAGCTAGGTCCCATCTCAGGGAAGCCAGTGGCTTCTCCCTGCCTCTTAGCCTATCCAGATGTTGCAGCCCGATCACATTTTCAGTGCGATCAGGCTGCCATCCTTTCCCCTACCGCAGCAATTAATCTACCACCAGAGGTCCCCACTCTCTGGCGGCCCGCGGTCCCGTCGGCTGCTCATTACGTCGTCGACGTCTTCTTCGCTCGGGATCGGCCCTCTTCCGATCCCGTTCAGCGGTCTCTTTCTGGAGCGTTACAGCTTCACAGAAAGAGACCACTGCGCCCCAGCCCTCTTCACCCGCCAGCATGGCAGTAATGATTGCTGGCGGGGATTCGTTCCCTACCTATGACTAATTAAGATATTTTAGTATAATCAAATTAATGAATAACGTTGAAGTGAGCAATTATTATTTTTTGGGACAGCGAATTAAATACTACTTAATTATTTCAAAAAGTACATTTGATGGGGGTTATGATCTGGCAATATTCAACGTCTTTGTGATTTGTTTCGTCATTTATTTTCCTGTTTAATGCTATCTATAGCTGACAATATTGCGTAAATAGAGACTTCTAAATAAACGCTACAAAATAACCACGTCCATGTTGCTTCGGTATGCCTGCGGTATCTTTTGTGGTGAAGGTTGTACCGCAAAATGTCATTATCAACATTACGAAGTTATTGCGTCTGTACGCAACTACAGTTATCTCAGAATGGGTCGCTTTGGCGGGGTAACTCGGTCAGTTGATCATTTAAAGAAATTTCAACTTGCGCTAAAGAGTTGAGTATTTCTTAACTTTGTTTGTTTAGAACTTTTTTTACATTTTGTTAACATTTCGGATTAAAATATGTTTAATTGATACATTGCTCGTGAAAAATGTGAAGGAACTTAGTTTTAGGTTACCGCTTTTATTCATTTTCTTGTTTTTCTACACCAAAATCCTGATGTGATCTGGCCCATAGTGCCAAATACGAAGCTGATCTAGGCGATGGATACGAGATATAGAGCCACATCTTATACTCGACTAAATTACTAATTAATATCGGTAGCGTGCCTTCTGTAACACTATGATATTGTCACGAAATATCACGTAAATTAGAGAAAGAAAGAGAGTGTTTTTTATTAATACCTACTACTATTTCTTGTTTATATTTAACCGAAAGTTCTCATAAGGATAAGAATTTACTAGAATAAGTATTCTAGTGGTCTACCAGTACTATAAATACAGGCACTTGACAGTTCAGTTTAAGCTACAGTGCGATAAACGTCGAAGCGATATATGCGAAGCCAGTAACCTAGCGACCTCTGCGATCCGGACTATTATTCAATGTACAGTATTGTTTAAACGTTCTTAAATGTGTTATTAATAAAGTCTCTTTAGTTGTCAGAATGTATATTTTTCCATTCCGTATTCTTAATCCGTCACTACACGGAATGTCACTACCCCAATTCATCCCGTGGGTGTCGTAAGAACCGACTAAGGGCGCAAAACAACGCAGGACACCAGCACTACAAAAAGACGGATAACTTGACACAAACCCTATACCAACCCGCCTGGCCAGCGTGGTATAGTAGGCCAAAACCTTCTTTCTAAGGAGAGGCCTATGTCCAGCAGTGGACTATTAAAGGCTGTTGATGTGATGTGTGATGATATTTTTCCAAATCAACGAACCCTAACACGTAACAATATGAACGAAATGAAATACGAAAAATAACAAAATGATATCTGTGTAACTTCTTTTTTTCGACCATGGCTTAAAGCTGTGTGACTGCAAATGGTGTCTTGTAATAAAATGACATCATTCACCTACTTACGTACTTCGTACTTCACCCGATATCTCAGCTTGTTAGCATACAACTTTACTGTCTGATCGCAATAAGCTCCAAAAATACTTAACAAATTTTAGGACTGTTTTAAAAAAGAATAGAATGACTGATGAATTTATGACTAAGGTTTAAGTAGTAAGATACAGATTTTGTATAGGTACATTTCTGAAATGTGATGATGATTGTTGATGACAAAAATTATACTGACTAGGATCTTTACTAGCTTCATCAACAGCCTTTAATAGTTCACTGCTGGACATAAGCCTCTCCTGAGAAAGGAGGTTTTGGCCTACTATACCACGCTGGCCAACAATAAATGATCATGAACCAATAAATAGATTTATATATAATCTGTGTATTATGGAATTATTTCAGTAAAAAGGTCTTATCGAGGTGGTCATTTTATAATATTATTTCTAGTATTAAATATACCCTTTTCCAACCTCGGATCAGTAATTAAAATTCTACAATAGTGCTTCTACATTTAAATCAAGCAAACATGTTTAACGCAAGGGGAGTCCGGAACTATCCGTTTCCGGAGCACGCTCTAGAAGAAGACCTATGACCACACTGACAGATGTGTTGCGGAGAGATATGAAGGCATGCTATGTTTCGGAGGACGACGTCAGGGACAGGGCGAAGTGGTAGAAGTACACGAAGGGAGCTGACCCCACCACAATGTGGGATGAATAGTAGGAAGAGACAAAGAAACATGTTTAACGCAACATGCCTGTACCTACGTCACTGTTAGTACCACTTATTGAGAAACAAGAGCCGTCTCCACGAGTGACAGAATCGCGATGAGTCAGCACTTCTATCGCCAGGTATTGTTGACGAACGAGCGATTTTGCCGCAAGAGTGTATCGCCGCGTGTGCGCGACGACTTTTAACGGAATAGCCACGATTCCGCGACTAGGCGTTGTGCAAGGGATGCCAGACGACAGCGATAATAAACTACCAGTACTGTAGCAACTGCACATCGTGAAGTGCAGGTCTTTCTCTCACTTCAAGTACCTTTGAACTTTTTCAAACTAACTTCAAACATTATTTATAGTTTAAAAACTTGTCCATACTCAACGTCTCGTTGCGAGAGCAAAGAGAGTGCACACGTCGCGCTGGTAGCGATGGGTGGGCGGCGGTAGAACGACGTAAAGACGTTTCGCGCGCACTTAGCCACTAGACGTATCGTCGTAATTCTCCCGAATCTACCCATCATGGAGACAGGCCCTTAGGCTCTTCTACCAGTGACAAGCTGAGGCGGGTTGCTATTTAATTACAATGTATTAATATTTTAAAACTAATTTCTATTTTTTTTAGCAGCGAAGTCCATAAAGTAGATTTTGACTTTTTTACAACATATTATATAGTTATACCTAACTTTAATTGAAATAGTTTAAATTTCTTGTAAATTGAAATACTACAATTACTTTGTTTGCACTGGCAGTCCCGAGACAAATGTCAATGTCACATTAGTGTCAATCAATTAGACAATAGAGTCGAGCCGAAAAACATTTGTTTTTCGAGATATATCAACTGCTAATTGTAACGTAAATCACAAATAATCATGGCAAATGTCGATGCGGGAGTTTCTACAGACGAGGAGCCACTTAAGAAGATATTTGATGATGCTATGAAGTTGTATAACGACATAGATTCAGGCACGGAACCGACTAACAGTGATGCTGTTCAAGTGAGTGAAATTCGTTTTATTTGTTATAAATTTACATCTACTTTTGCTAATTTACATTTCAAGATCACGATTTCAATTGCCTACGTTGCATAGCTTTTGCAAATGGCTATCTTGGAATCGCTTTTGGTTGATAAGATGATGTGTTTGTCTTCAAAATCACCTGATGACCTAATGGTAAACAATGATGAAGACTAACATACATCTACGAGAAACTTATTTGCTCCTCTTTTAAACATTCCCCACTTTATTACTTTTTATTTAATAATATAAATGAATGACTGATTCTTACTAGAATATTAAAAATTGTCCATCTTTAAAAATACAGCTTCTAGCAAAGAGGTTATAATCTCTTTGCTTAGTTAGTTAAATAATACATCCTACCTATTTGTACCATATATAAACTAAATTTAATACTTAAATCCAGCTAGAAAGTATACCAATTCAGTGGCAAAAAAAAATTTTTCCATTCTACATTATAGTAGGATGGAAAAGTCCAATAACTAACGATTTATTTGATGAGTATGGTGTAGACCTCTTTTCTAAAGAGAGGCCTATGTCCAGCAGTGGACTATTAAAGGCTGTTGATGATGATGATGGTGTAGATGACTGTTAATTCAGTATCTATTTGTTTAATATACACATTTTTGTATGAAATACTATGGTGTCACATCATACCCAGCTATTGTCAAATCATTATGTCATTATATCACTATGTATAATAAGTATGTATTTACAAAAAAAAAAGTATATATGTATTTATATCAGTTGTCTAGTACCCATTGTACAAGCTCTGCTTAGTTTGGGACTGGATGGCATTGTGTGAATGTGATAGAATATTAATATTATTATATTATTATTATTATTTATATTTGTTAGCACATTACACGCACATTGTTTTGTTACCACAACTATGTATGTCACCTCATTAATAGGGACCTGAAATAATTTCCTTATGTATTATAGGCATGATGACAGTGTTAAAGAATTATAGAATAAATGGTTTAAAATTAAAAAAAATATTGAAAGGGTTCTACAAAATTACATAGTTTTAATTAAAACACCCAGATTTATAAGATTTTAATAAAATAAAAGTATAAAATATAGGCATCGGCCATCTTAGCTGAAACACCAATCAGAGCGATTTACGTCACGCCTAAGTAAACATCACAGAATCTTTCGAATTTTATTTGTGTTTACACTTTTTAAGTTGTTGTTGAATTAGTTCATTTATGATTTATTCGTGGTTATTGTCATAAAGATAAAAGATCCAAGAATCATCGACGATGGAACAAGGTTTTATTAAGGTTTTATTAGCTCTAATTTGCCCAGGATGGACTTGTTGATGTTGGGAGATTTTCTTTCATCAAATAAGGATTTTTGCTCATCTGAATATCGAAATGTGAAAAGTTCCTTGTAAGTACATTTTATTAATATTTATTGTTAACCTTGTTAACGTTTTAAATATCATATGTAAAATTCTCTTTAAGGGAGGTAATCTATCAGTTTGACAGGTTTTACTCGCAAGTAAAGAACGCCCTAACATTTTCAAAACAGCATTAGTACAATAAGCACTGAATTCAAATGTTCTGTAACCATATTACTTTCTTCCGATTGCTTTTCACACTTCAAGAGCCATCAACTTTCGTTTCTTACTTATATATGGTCGGTCTACGGTATTACAAGTTCGTGACTTTCTATCTGGTTGGCAGTCAAAGGGGGATGCCAGGCCACCATAGTGCTTTAGGCCCTGAATGCCCATATGTGAAAATGGGTGCAAATATTTCTTTGACAGATAAATAATTTACTCACAAAAGAAAAGTTAACACAAAACTTGGGGTTTCATAAATGTCAAGGTTTTTATTTTTTTAAATGTGCGCTTACACAAGTGCAATAAAGTTCTTGGAAACAATTCCTGTATAAATATATCTAGTTAATATTGTATTTATAATCCATCCATCCATGTCAGTCCATAAATCTCCAACTACTGCATGGGCCTCCTCCAGTGGTGGAAGAAGAATTTAGCCTACTATGGTATAGTATAGTATGGCCAAACGGGTTGGTATACATTTCCTGCTCTTTTATGATCTTAGATGGTTAAAAATGAAACTCAATTTAAATAGTTAAACCTTCATTCATCATACACTACTAAAACATCATCCAAAAATTGAGCAGGAGGAAAAATATTACCTTGATGCCGTGCCCACCCCAAATACCATAGCACTGTCATGACATGGGCACAGCATCCTACTGTACGACGGCCAACAATGCAATTGCAGCAGTATTGTTTGATAGCCTCGCGACCAGTTTCCATATTGGTAATTAGTATATATATGAAGTATATTTTGCGACTGATGTGTCGACTTGCAATTCTTGCTCTAATTAGGTAACAATTCGAGCCAAAAATTAGTTCTTCCATTATTCTATTCCTAGAGTCTCTAGAGACTTCTATTTGGTATGACCCGTTGGTCCTTATATGCTCTCCGTAATAAGAACGAGCTTGTTTCAACTGATATATCCCACAGGCAATCAGTATTAGCTCATTATTAGTTAGTCTTGGAAAGTCCCTTATATTTTCCCTGTCAACATTAATATTTTGGAAATCTGATCTAGCTCTATTGAGATTATGATCCCTAACATAATCTGAAAGGTCATTGTTTCTGTTCATATTCCTGTTCACAATTTCAATTATTTCAGTGGCATCGTCTCTGTCTCGTAATCTGGTGTGATATTTATTTATAAGAGCAGCAGCCACAGAGAAATCTATCATTAGATGCTTGGAAGCTCTGTTGAAAAAGGTTTGCCTAAATATTTTAAACTTAGTTTTAAATATTCCATTCACCACTTCCACCACCCATCGACATAAAGTAACAGCTCTTGATTTATTTGCTTCTCTAGTTGTCAATTGTGGTTCACCATCTGTTGGGGATAATGGTATATGGACATTATAGCCACAACTCCTTAGGAGCGGTAATGAGTCTCTAAAACCCCTGTCGAGAATAAATACATCCCCAGGTTCAAAATATTGACGGCAAGAACTACTTTCACTTCCAAACTCTTGTTTCATAATGTCTGCATCTGTGGTTGTAGCAGGATAGGGGCCCAGTACGTCAATGATATAACCATCACTGCATACAAATAAAAATGGCTTAACCAGATTACGGTATTTATGCAATGAATATGTTTGTTTTTGATACAAGTAATTAGAACTTTTTTCTATATATATGTATGTACCATCAGCTATTATAATTGGTGTTCTCTCTGGGCCCCCATACAAAGCATTGGGAATCAGCAGATTCCTTTGAGCAATTTCTGCTCTAGTTATGTGATTCAAGCCCAGATTTCTGGGAACAAAATCTTGATACAATAATTCTCTAGCCATCTTCATTAGACCTTCTAGTGTACTCCTTGGTATTTGCAATAATGATGAAATTCGTTCATTACTATCTCCTGTCCGCAATTTCAATAAATATGCTGCCAGAGCATAAGCTCCCCTATGGCTATTTAATAACCTCGGGACTTCCGAAAGGATTTGCTGGAATTGTTCTTTTGAAAAGCCCAAGTAATAGTGAACAATATGATCTGGCATACTCAAGATATTGTCAAAATCTAAATGCATTAACATGTTATCTTTTAACAAAAAAATAAGTTCTTCCATTTGTTCAGCACTGAATGTCCTGATAGGATCATAAATTGAATCCAGAAGTAAATCCCATGAATTGCTTCTCAAGTGCATTGAACATATTCTGCAATCTGCAGGCACATAATAATTGTAGTCACAAAGTAAACTTACTCTCAGTGAGGATGGTACTAAAAGCCGGTCAGACGCATTACATCCAGGAAAAAAACAATGTCGCTGTGTGCTAGGAGCTCTGATATAGTTAGGCAACTGCAAGCCATGAGATGGAGTTGTATTTCTTCCTTCAGCTTGTACTTGAGAAGATTCAATGTTAAATGATGGGAGACTTGACACTGCTGATTCCCCATCTGAAGTAAAGCGAGCAGCTGCTCTTTCAGTCCTTCGCCAACAGTTATGACAAAGATGGGCTGATCTTGGCAACTGTCAAAGAAAAAAGGCAACTGATATGTTTTTTTCCCTTAAAATGGCAAAACAACAATCCTCAGACCATGATTCGACAAAGAATTCTATCCCATGTAGGTACTTTTATTTGAATGAGAGAGTGTGGTAGAAATGAATCAATATGCAAGGAGTGGCAACAGATAGTGAGGTGAGTTACCGGCCAGACCGATGACCATGACCACTCTGCTGAGTGTTAACGAGTGAGAAGATTTTAATTTATAATTTATGTATGTTTAAAATAATATTTAAGTATGTTTATCAGCAGTCTGGTTACCACCATAGAGGCTCTGCATAGTTTGGAACCAGCCAGCCATATGTGAGATGTTATTATTCTATATTCTTAGAACATTACAATATAGTTATAGTTCAACTACCTGGATAGACACTTTATCTCACACATAGTCTAAGACACATTACAGCTATTTATTTAAAGTCTGATTGTAACCACTCTTAATACTCTCTTTACAAAGTATATTCCTAACAATAATATTGTATGTATATTATCTTACCTCTCGTGGTGCAATTTGATGGGTAATAATATTCCTTATTTGTTCACAATGTGGTGTATCAATGTTAAGGCTATGTGACCTTTGCCTTAAAAGCGAAGTTCCACAGCTGATGCATACAAGAATGTGGCCAACGAGAGGCTCAGTCGACCGTTGACTGGTTGGCATCCTGATTTCATTCCATGCATTGGTCCAACATGTATGACACACCAAACTATCACTCGAAACTTGCTATAAAAGTAAATATGGGTTTAGATTATGTTAAGTTGTATAAAGCTATTTGCAGGTTTTTGTATGTAGGTAGTTATTTACCTGCAGCTGTCCAACCCATCTCTGTATAAGGGATCGGACTTCAGCAATTTCCAATGAGTGTCTTCGCATTCTTGAAATATTTATATTACAATTTACACAGCGGATATAACCACTGGTAATATTAGCAGTAGACGCTCTTTGCAGAGAAGAACTAGAACCAGGTTGAATGTCGAAGTCTTCGGTCGGTACTATCATCAAATCCAAGTTATCGTTATCAGTAGGAGCGGAATCCATATGCAAGCCGTGGTTGTCAGGTAAAGAAGAATCGCCAGAGTCAGTATTCATGGTCAGAATCAACGATTTAATATTAATTAATATCGAGAAACACGCACAAATCACGATGATGCAAAGGCAAACAAAGTAATGATCACAGAACATGTAATGATAAATTGACTGGGTAGCTGTCAGTTTGATTAGAGTTTTAAAATATTAATAGTATAGTTGCCATTAAATAAACAAAATATCGTATTATCGATCGACTCAACCCATAGATCGGTATTTAACTGCTCATTGTTAATGTATAATTTATAATTATAATACAATATAATTTTAAAATACTCAAATGTGTGTATTATTTAAGTTAGTTTATTTAAGTACAAGTAAAAAAGCTCAATGTGAATATTTTGTCAAAATACTATTTGATTTTTTTACGAAATGTTGGCAACCCAGAAAAATGCAAATGTCAGTGTATTAAGATAAAATTGTTTTAGTGTTATTTAATTTGCCGAAAATATTTCTGGCTTTTATCCTGACTTGAATAGCAAGGAAAATTAAGAAAATTTAATTTATGTTTTTTCAGCAAAATACAATTGTTGGGCATTCTGGGCCTAATTTCGGCATTCCCCTTTATGGGGAATACATCCTGGTTTCATACGCACTTGTGATACTGACCCCATTATATGATATTGCATGTAGTTTTCCATGTCATTTGGTAGCTGAAAACAGAAATGTGATATAGAAATTGATAACAGACCAAAACAAACATAACCTTAACAATTTTTACATTGTGAATCACTTCAACTATTTCATCTCTAACAATGATTTTGAGTTACATATCTATCAATCTATATCAAATACTTACATCAAAGTGGTCTTCACAAAAATAAATTGGCGAATTCGTAACTACACCTGCTGGATCTCGCCGCGCGAGTTTTAGCCATGTATCTCTCATTTTTTCTTATTTGGAACATAAACAAAGGTGTTGCTATTGATGTATTTTTGCAATCAGGTACCGCACACCACTTATAAATTTTGGAATTCATTTTTAACACACAAAACCCGTAGATAACACTTTGTTGACTTGTTTCGTTGAGCACAGATGTTTTAATTACTTAGGCGTGACGTCATCGCAGACGAAATGACACTTCAGAGCGTTTGCGCGCGAATTTCAAAGTAGATGAAAAGAAATGGAATTATTTACGTTAAAACTCATCTGATTGCTGAAATCATGTTATTTTCGTAAATAGTTGACGTCTACCTATATTATAGAAAGGTATTTCAAAATCTGTCATCATGCCTATTGTATGTTATTATAATTTACGCAATAGTTTTACTAGTCAGCTAACTATCTGTTTGAATGTAATAATATAATATTTCATTTTTCACAAGTCTCACACACGGCCGCCTGATCCCAAACTAGGCAGAGCCATTACCATCGTAAACAGACTGCTGATAAACATACTTATATATTTCTAAATACATTCATATTATAGATGTAGTACTATTATTTTTTAATTGTCCTAGGACTAAGTTTCCTATTTATGAATTCATTCCTCCTCATATTCCTCATCCCACATCCCTTAAATTACTATTATCTCGCGTTTTTACTCCTTTTGTATACATTCTAGGTAAGTGTATAACTTTAAACAAAATTAAATTATAGTTTCAATATCACAGTGTAATATTTGTTTTTGTTTTACTGGTTATTTCTTATTTTGTATATGTATATATATTATTAGATGTATATATATTTTACTAGTTTAAGTTTTATCATGCCTGTAAAAGTTAACAATTTATTCATTCTTATTCTTTCATTCTCAAAATATTTTTTTGGCTCTACCACAGCTCTACACAAAATCCTTTGACAGTTTGTCTTTCAAATACATGACATATGCGAAATTGTGGTTACACTCTACCACAAAGCCATTAACCAAAAGTTGAAGTTGATATAGTACACCCAGACACAGAAAAAATGACTGTGCTCATCGCACAATATAGGGTCAGGGTCGCAGACAGGGTCACTAACATCTAGACCAAAAAGCCAGTCTGTATAGATGTTTGCTCACACATGATTAATATTCACTAATAACGTAGTATTTGAACACGCAACAGTAGTTTCACTACAATATTTATTAATTTGAAGATATAAAAAAAAAAAAAAAAAAAGGAACTAGGACAATGAGCTGTACTTTAAGATGTTACATTTAATGATTCAGATGAAATCATCAATCATCTTCAACAGCTTTGAATAGTCTACTGCTGGACATAGGCAGAGGCCTCCTATCTAAGGAGCCTCTCCGAAAGCAGTTTCGTCCTACAATACCACCCTGGCCAGACAGGTTGGTATAGGTTTTGTGTTAGGTTTCCTTTTCTTTGCGTGTCTGACTCTGTTGTCCTTCGTAGTTTGCTTACGGCTCTTACAACAACCACATTATGAATAGGTGTGTGTATTCTTAGTTTGTCACCAGGGATCATCGGATCAGATCACAGATAAGGCGAAACAATTTATTTCTTGTAAATCTACCTTATTATTCACGTTTTTTCAGATGAGTATCAAAATAGCTATTAAGAAGTTTGAGAAGGCTACAAACTTAGTATCATTAACGGGTATGTTCAGTAAAAATGAGAGTCTTGAAGAGCTACCGACAGAAACATTACAGTATCTCTTGCTGCCTACTCTGCTCGGCGCGCTCACTTTGAAGCTTAGTAACCAACCGCGAAGAGAACTTATTGAAGTGGCTGAGATTTATTTCAGGTGAGAACGCTAGTTAGATATTCATTTTTAAACTTTTTCTTTACAAAATTAAAAACTTAAAACAAATTTGAAAAGTACAGTTGCACAGCGGTTCTCTTTTTCCTGTCTCTTTCTTTTGCACTTAATTGCTATAGAAAATCAGCAGTATTCTTCAACTCTTCTCTTCTCTCTCTGAATCTCTACTCGCTATTGGAAATAAGTAGTTCCAGATTGAAACAGGCAGACAAAAACACTGAAAACAGATAATGGATCATGGCGACGCGATGCCACGTGATAGTAGATGTAACAAGTAATGTGGTGTTGTGTATATTTTTACTTGTGTTGTATTTATTATTCTGCTTTAATTATTATTGCCGTTCATCTTTACATAGTATGAAATAAAGTCGCTTTTTGTGTTGTACGCTTAGATCTTTTAAACTAAGCAACGGATTTTATTGCGGTTTATACGAATAGAGAGAATGATTCAAGAGGAAGGTTCATATGTATAATACATGGATATTACAGTAGAGGAAAGCCGAGCATTTCAAAGATTTGTCTCAAAAAACATGGTTTTGCGCGCTTACATTGCATACGCTGGAAAATCCTTACGAGATACACTAAAATAATATACTTCCGGATGAAGTCAAACAAAAAAGGATGAAACAAAAAAGTCCGTGATGGTATATGTCTATCTCTTAATGATAACACTCAGTAACCATTTTTATGTTTTAAATGTTACAAAAAAATAAGGGGTATTTACGAAGCTATTTTTTACAATACGTTATTATTTCTTATTCAATTAAATACGTTAGATACGTTGTACATTTAATATAGATTAAAATTGCTCTTTACAGCATTTAATTAAAATGAATATTTTAGAGGATATTAGAGGTGTATAATGCGTGGGCAGTGCCGTCGTCGTCGCTTCGGGCTTCGGGCTGTATGTCCGTTGCGGGTGGCAGCGGCCGGTAGGATAGGCCTATAAATATTGGAAATAAAGATGTCCTGTTACTACAGTCATAATACAATCATAATAATAATATAATTAATTACACACTCCACACACCACATTAGTAGTATTAGTAGTATCTACATTGCACCCGTGCGAAGCCGGGGCGGTTCGCTAGTAACCTATATACCTCAATAATTATGTGGATGTCCAATATTTCAGAGATTATCTACAGAGGTGCAAAGACTATGGTGTCACAGATATAGAAGTACCACAACCAAGTGTTGATAGTAAACAACGGGACAGGCCTCAGAGTGAACAAGCTAAAATAACTAATTTGGTAAGTGAAACTATACTATCGTTTTTCTTTTTCATTTCATTTATTCTTTATTGTACCAACTAAATATACACACACACACACACACATATATATATATATATATATATATATATATATATAAGTGACAAGTTACCGTCTGCGATATTTCCGGACCGATACGACCTTCAAATGTTCAAGAGCGTACTCCTTTCTAAAAGACAAAGCGTTTGTGGCTCCTTATTTTCAGGCGTTCATGGGCGTCGGTAGTCACTTTCCATCAGCTCGCAGACCCGACAGCGCGCACAACCCGCCACTTCCATTAAAAAAAAACAAAAATCTTTATAAGGTGCAAGTCCGACTTCAATTTGGTTCTCCACCAAACACTGTTCTCCTTTCTATGCAAGGGCACCGCAGTAACAACTTCTCCCTCTGGATCAATAACGAAGTGCGACACGAATCATCGATAGCCAGAAGATCTCCGATCGGCTTGACCCCTTGGCCTTACCTAGAGATGTAGCCTCAATCTGCATTCTCTACGGTATGTATCATGGGAAGTGCTTCGAGGAATCGTTCGAACTAATACCGGTCGCAACTTTTCGCCATCGTTCCATTTGTGAAAACTTTCATTCCCATCACTTGGATAATTGGCACTACACCACTGCGCTTTTCAAGACACTTTCTGCCTCGCACAACCAATCTGTGGAATAATAATCTCCTACGGTATTTCCGGACCGATGGACCTCAGCTCCTCGACCCCTTAGAAACGGGCGGTTGTGGATCGGAACATACATATAATGGATTACCTTCAGTTTTCTAAATATTTGACAGAACAGATTGTTGCTATTATATGTGTTGATCTATGACTTTAGTCTAAGACGATTTGAAACAATTTCGTTCGTCATATATACCTTCAAGAAAAGTGTGTACTCGTGCCACAAAGGACGGTAACGCTCTTGTGACTTCTGAGTTGCAGGCGGTGGTAGTCACTTTCCGTCTGAAGGCCAAATGCGAGCTTATTTCACTTCTGCTCGATCGTCACGGTAACGCTGTGATTGGTGAAGAGTTCTGCGCGGTCTAATCACAACGCCGAACCCCGTCCATTGACCCGTCTGCTCGTTTCCACTCTAACATAGAAAAAGCTAACTTTATTTAACTTTTCCTTCCGTTCACCAAGGAATTTTCCCCACGTATTGAAATATAGGTATATTAGGTAGATTACTGTACTAATGCATACATATCGGTTTAGAGACATTTATTTCTCATAAAAAGAACAATACAGTTCACTTACATAATGAGAAAATGTAACAACACAATAAATTAGTTAAGTATCTCTGTGATCTCAATACACAGTAGTATAAAACACATATTACAGTAGAATAAAACTAAAGATAAAACTAAAAATATACAGACAACTTCATTAGAGTCAGTACTTTATCCTAATGTAATCTCCTAATTTTTTTTAAATTTATACAAGATATCACTTTTAGTAATATCATCAGGTATTTCATTATAAAGTTTTATACCTTCATATAATATATTTTTCTTACCATAGTTGGTTCTAGGCTTTGTCACTTCTAGTTTTTTTCGTTTCCTAGCGTTGTATGTATAGGTTTTTTCTTTGAAGCTTAATTGTGAATGTGTACCTTGTGTTATGATTTTATGTATTAGTATACAAGTTTTAAGAATGTATAGTTGTCTAATTGTTAGGATTTTGGTATCCTTGTAGATGTTAAGTGTTGGTGTTAGGTAGTTGTAGTTATAAAGTGTTTTTATTGCTTTATTTTGCAAGACTTGAATTTCTTGGATATTCGATTTCGAAGCAGTGCCCCATATCTGCATGTATAATGCATACATATTATTATGTAAATGTATATTTTAAGGTACAAACAAGAGAATCGAAGATCAAAAGGTATAAAGAAATGAAAGACCTTCAACAACAAGTTGCTCTTTTATCCAAAGCGATGGCTTCTTCAACTGACGAAGAGATCAAGAGGAAATATTTTACAACGTTATTGAAAAGCTTTGTGAACCAGGCACTGGATGAACTGGCCAGTATTGAACAGGAGAAGCCCTTACTTGAGTACATTTCTAAACATGCGGGAGGTGAGGATATAATGAACACCTGGATTACTTCATTTTTGTCTCCCGCTTAGATAAGGGGGGAAGTGGATTTATTGTATTTCCAACTCCTCCAATTTTCTTCTCGTTGCGGGTTCCAAGACAGTTGATTTTTTTTCCTGGGACTGCCCGAATATCATAACTCGGTGTGTTCGTGGGTCACTGCTGTTGATCGTGGTGTACAGGAGTTACAGTGGTAGGCGTGTGGGAGGGATTAGTCCCATAAAAAAATGCTATTATATTCATTTTGAATTGCAGTAGTTTAAATGAATTTTAGGTATCTATTTCGTGTACAAATCGGCAATTTGATTAATTCTTATTACGAATCCCTGTACGAAACAATAAATTCGTCTTTAATCATTTCAGAGCCGAAGCCCAAGGAACGTCCGCGGGGGTCCCTGAAGCCAGTGATCATAACTCGGGACGCGGTGCAGAAGGCGGTTTTCGGTGCAGGCTACCCCGCCTTGCCCGCTATGACCGTAGAGGAGTTCTATGACCAGAGGGTTAAAGAAGGAATGTGAGTATTGTTCGTCATTTTCTGCCTATCTGTGTTATTCCTTCTTCAAGTAGCAACAATTTGAAACTTGATTTTGTACAATTTGATTTTTATTTTTGAGGTAAAATTTTAATAATGAGGAAAATTTTGGTCATAAGTTCTTTATATTAATGTTTACTTTAAATATACCAGATTTTAGTGCAGTGGTAGCGTATGCAGCTGTTGTGCTATGGTCTTGGGTTCCCGGGTCGGACCAAATGTTTGTATGATCTGCAAATATTTGTTTCGGAGTTTGGGTGTTTTCTATGCATAATATATATGTATTTTCGAAAAAAAAGTGTATAAGTATTCTTATCAGGCAATCTAGCTCGTATAAGCTCATAGTACAAGGTCTGCTTAGTTTGAAACTAGATGGTGTTGTGTGTCGGATGTCGGCAATATTATTATCAATCTCGTAATTACCTTGTTCACAGCTTCCCAGGAGGGGGTACAAATATACCACACAAGAAAATAGAAACAACACAGAATGATGGAGATGAGGCGGAGAACATACGAAAGGTACGTTGATAATGTTAATGTCTACCACCATCGTCATCTGAGGGCTCGCTGTAAGTTTATTTCGTGTGGCGCTGTGATTGGTGAAGAGTTCAGCGCGGGCCAATCGCAACGTGCTCATCGTAAAATCGTATAGATGTGAAAAAAACTCCCACGCATGAGTTCCTATTGTTATTTGGGTTCGGTGCAATGTGCAATATTGTAAAAGGTTATGGCTGATTTCTTTTATGGCCCGCCGCCAGCCTGATGCCAACTTTCCTTGGGAATGTAGTTGTTTTAGTCCCAATTTTTTTTTTTTCATTTTATTGCAGGAGCATTTAGAAGAAGAAGATGACCCAGAAGAGCGCGCACGGCAGCAGAACATGGACGAGTACAAAGACGACCATCGTAGGGGTTGGGGCAACAGATACAACAGGAGTTAACTGCCACACAAATATGGACTCTAATCAAAACAAAATAGGATACATTCTCTAATACGTTTTAACATTTGTTTACGAGTTAACTGTTACACCAAAATTGATTCTATTTGCTTTACAATAAAGAACAATTTCTAATACCTCCTAACATTAATTTACTAAGTATACCTAGAGTTAACTGTCACAGCGAAGTGAACTCTAAGCTTTTAGAAATAGGGAACATTTCGTTTTTGCATACCCTCCTTGTTTTCGAAAGAGCATAAGTTACAGAGGTAACTGTCAAACCGAAAACGACTCTAATTACTTCAAAATAGGGTAGATTATCTAATACGTAATAATATTTGTTTACTAATTGGTAACTAAAGATGTTTAGTGTCGGTTATTTCCTCAATCAGCATCATCATCTCAGTTTTACAGATTCATAATAATATTGAAAGTAGGAATAATATATTTCAAAATTGTTAATAATAAACCTCCATCTTAAAAAAATAGTGGCGTCTGTTGAATGAACTTTGTGGCGCAGCGGTTGGGAATTTGACTGCAGATCAGGAGTGTGCCCGTACATATACAGTTTAATTCAGTAGAACAATAAGCACTTAAATTATTGACATATTCTACTGTTTGACATTGACATATTTGCAAAAGAGTTACTAATTGTAAATTTGTGTTAAGTCATTAACAGTCTTAAAAAGTCCGTTGCTCGACATAGGCCTCTACTTAAAAAAGAAATTACGCTGGCCAGACGGGTTTTTTAAAAGGTTTCTTTTTTCAAATTTTACCGTCTCTTTGCAGTGCTGTTATCCTGCGTAGTTTGTTCCCTTAGTCGGCTCTTACGACACCCACGGGATGGGTAGGGGTGGTGACACCGTAATCTGTGACCACTCTGTGTTACGTACACTCGATTAAACATTGGTTTAGAGAATAGGACGCTATGTGAAGTCATTCTTTAATTTGTGTAAATAAAGTGTTGCCAATAATATTTTTGTTACTCAATGGCGGGATCCACAAGTTGAGTAGTATTGCCAGTAAAATAACTTTAGAAATCATCTGTCTATAGGCATATTATAAGTATTGAAATAGAGAGTAGAAGTGAGACGAAGTATATATCTGTCTCTTTCAAGAGTGTATCAGTGCCAATGGTGCTCTGCTTATAATATATCTATGTTTATTCACAATTAAAAAGCGATGGTATTGTGAGCTAGGACGTTACGGTTACGGGTTCGAACCCCACCATGTCCGCTAACCAGGTGAACCCTAGCACTTAGCTTGGCTTAGCTTGAGAGGTTATCAAGAATACAAGTTATGTCCACGTCAGTGTATGTACCCATACTAAGTCGCCCATTTTTACAGTTTTTTATCTCCCTCCGCCTCCTCTCCCTCTAGTTTTCATGTAGTAATTCGTAACTGGGTTTTAAATATTCTTTGCAAACAAAAAGTTAAAAATAATAATTTGATAAAGGTTTCCCTGAATGGTATTGATTACGTAATGACAACTTGAGCCATCCTTGCCTTGGTACTTTGAAGACACCCCCTTGAGTGGGCCTCATCCCTGAACGGGTCACGTAGTATGGGTACGTTCCTTTACTAGTATTCTTTATTAAAAAATAATTCTAACTATTTGTAATGGATTCCTTACTCGGTCTAATTCGGTCTCCTTAAAAACCTCTTAAAATTAAAAAAATACTGTAGTCTATCTTTCTAGAAACGGTTCTTTAAGATTTCTTATTTATCACGTGGATTCCTTACTCGAAATCTGATTCCGTCTCCTTAAAAACCTCTTAAAATTAAAAAAAAAACTGTAGTCTATGATCTTTCTAGAAATGGTTCTTTAACTAGTATTCTCTTCGTTCCTTTACTAGTATTCTTTATTAAAAAATAACAACTATTTGTAATGGATTCCTTATTCGAAGTCTCATTCCGTCTCCTTAAAAACCTCTTAAAATTAAAAAAAATACTGTAGTCTATGATCTTTCTAGAAATGGTTCTTTAACTAGTATTCTCTTCGTTCCTTTACTAGTATTCTTTATTAAAAAATAACTCAAACTATTTGTAATGGATGCCTTACTCGAAGTCTGATTCCGTCTCCATAAAAACCTCTTAAAATAAAAAAAAATACTGTAGTCTATCTTTCTAGAAACGGTTCTTTAAGATTTCTTATTTATCACGTGGAATCCTTACTCGAAGTCTGATTCCGTCTCCTTAAAAACCTCTTAAAATTAAAAAAAAAACTAGTCTATGATCTTTGTAGAAATGGTTCTTTAAGATTTGTTATTTATCACACATTCGGTCTAACGAAATTTTGTTCTATCCGACCAAGCTAAGTACGAGAAGAAGTGTTCGCACTAATTAAGTTCAAGAACAACGGGATTCGACTCTGAGTAGAGAACCAGTATGTAATGTGTATGTTATGTCGACTACCAATGTAATGGTTCAATAAAATTTACACACTGTAAACGCTTGTTTTACTTTTTAATAAAATGGTTAAAAGTAGTGTAAGGCATCAATATGTTTATTCTTCTTAGTTTTACATGAGATTTACTAAATAGTTCCTGTTAGATTTCTAGATATCACCCCCCAAATTTTGACTGGAAGAGAATGCCTTAGGCATTAAGTCCGCCGATGTACAAAAGTGCGAGGAGAGGTTGCTTTAATTACTGCACGGATAGGACGGCGTAGTTCAGTGGTTTAAGCGGTCACCTCGCCGTTTCCTACTGCGCTGAATGTTGTGGGTTCGATCTCCACTTGAGACATCACTTTGTATGATATACCAATTGTTCTGAGTATGGGTGTTCTTTGTGCCCGTAAAGTCCCACGCGACACAGGATATATTCCTAATGAGGTTGTCTTTAAAATAAATAGCTATCAGCTTCCGATGTAATTAATTGTGAGACAGAGCTGTCTTGCCTGTTGGTCTGGTTAGTGCCTCTGACTGCTAACCCGGAGGTCGTGCGTTCCATTCCCACCCAAGACAAATAATGGTGTGATGAGTACGATCATTTGTTTTGTCTATTTATATTTTATCTATAACTAGCTGAGACCCGCGGTGTTACCCGCGTCTGTTGTTATAACCGCGGGCAACGCCGCGGGGCGAAGCTAGTCTAAAAAAAGTAGCCTAAGTTACTCCTTATGTCATCAGCTATCTACCAGTGAAAGTCCCGTCGAAACCGGTCCAGCCGTTCCAGAGATTACACGGAACAAACAGACAGACAGACAAAATTTGTAAAAAATGTTATTTTAGCATATGTACCATGTAAACATACATATGCATTTAGTAAAAAGCGGTTATTTTAATATTACAAACAGACACTCCAATTTTATTTAATTTTATAGATATGTATGTATTTAGAAATATTTAAGTATGTTTATCAGAAGTCTGGTTACCATAGTACATGGCTCTGCCGGTTTGGGATCAGATTGCCGTGTGTGGGAAGAGGTGGCTGTTGGGGTTTATTTGTCGATTCGTCGGTCATCGAGAGAAGTTTGAGCGCGATAGGGGGAGATAGTTGCATCTCTCACCTCACGCCTCAACTGAATTTAATTAGCATGCCAACTGCATATGTGTCGCCGCCGATACCAGCCGTCGATGGGGCCGCAAGCTGCCACAGAGTGGAGACCTCTGGTGACAGATTAATTGCTATGATAGGCGATAGGATAGACAGGGGCGGCCGCGGCTTACCCGGGAATAGGGCCTGAACATGATCCGGGGCCCTCCTCGGTATAGGGCGCTCGAGACTGACCGTCGGGGTGGTTTTTAGTGAAAACACCACACACTCCTGGCTCCTGCGTCCCCGAGGAGCCTGAGATCCGATAGGATTTACCACCCCATCAACAAAAAAAGGTTGTCCCGTCAATTTTGCAGGTAAATGTATTTTGAGGTATTGTTTAAAAAATTGAAGCTTGCATTACTCTATACAAGAAAGCTTTGCTTTTGTTGAGATTGAGAACAGAAAGCCAATTCTCGTAATAAAAGTTCGGACAAAATTCAGTTACGAGCTATTCTCGATCTCACAAATGTCATAAAAGGTATTATCGTAAAATATTAAACATTCAACGTTGACTGTAATGTGATTATATCGTATTGTAACCGAAAGTTGGATCGGGAATCTGCTAGTCTTGGTAATACTTTACCTTTCAAATAAGAAAAATCCATTGCAGTTCATAAATGACGGAAGTCTGATGACAATAAAAAAAAATACATCCGAATTAAGACTTTCTTCTTTTCAAAAGTAAGAGTTATGTAAAAGTTCTTATAAGAAAATTTACAAAGCGATACCATAAGCACTACCCCTCTATCACATCCCAAGTAACTCCCGTTTAGCAGTCATAGAGTTAATATATAACTAAAATAGGAAAGCTGGCTGTAGTCGCGTAAGTCCCCTACAACCGTGCCTGTTTAGAGTAGGGATGCTCGGGGACTGACAGCCAATCAGTGAAGAGTGGAGAGAGAGATGCAAGACCCACACAATCTTTTTACCCTCTCTAACGCTGTTATGGTTCCACTTAACTAACCGCCTCTATTGTATATAAATTATCTCTATGTCATCAGTACCACACTGACCGGTTGAGAGCCCTCTGCGCTCACCGAAAAGCCCGGGCAAGGTTGTCGAGGCCATCCGAGGCCAACAACCATACATCACACAAAAAAAAAAAAAAAAAACAGTACCACAGTCTGTACCACAACTGCTATTAGTATACTTGCCAACTATACTGCTAGTAGTCCGTCCTAAAAGTGCCTAGAACGAATGAAAACAATGGTATTTTAGAATATACACGTTAAATTTTCTTTACAGAATGGTTAAAACTTGGTAAATTTTTTGTTTTATAGGCTACCATCACACGACCAGGATACAAATACCGTAATATTTAAAGGTCTACATAAAGTAAAACTTAAAATGTTACGTAAACCTCCTTATGAACTAAAATGAATACTTAGTCATTTTAAAAAATTTCAAGACGTTCTAGGCTTTGTGTTTAAGCTTTGATCTCTGTTCGTTGTGTAACGTATT